TTGTACAACACAATGCTTTAAATCTCTTCTGGAAAAAAAACACATGACAAGTGTTGTTGAAATCACAGCAACTTGGTTATTGATTTGAAGTTTGGGTTTTACTTTCTAAGGGGGTGAATGTAAGCATAGGCAGAAAAGGCATTTCAAGAGTCTGGCTGCAGAACAGCCTCTGGCTGTGTCTGCCAGGCTCTTACAGGAGGCATGTGTATTGCCAGGTGCATCTGGATAAAGAAGTATCTTTCCAGCTTGTTATCCAGCACCTGTGACTTTGATCAGTGTCCCAGGTAGCATGCCCAGTGGTAACCCTGGGACAAAGCTCAGAAGCTTGAGATGCATCTGAAGCTTTTACGTTGTGTGTTTTGTAACCCTCAGGGGACAGTGGCTTGTCTGATACAGTTTGTATGCATGTGTGTGGTGTTTGATGGCCACATTCAAACGTTAGTACTTTTGAACAATCTCGTCTTGGGCTGATGGTCATGCTCAGGAGAGGGTTAGGTTCTTCCATTTGTAACGTCAGTGTTGCTGTTCTAAACTGTTCTTCCCTTCCTAGCAAAGTGGTTGTCATAGTATCTTCTTCCATCTCTCAATTACAAAAAATGGTTGACCTTCAGTTTAGTTGGCAGAGGGTCAGAGATGTAGCTGAAGGACTGGAGGAAAAGTGGCATAAACAAATGCAGCCAAACCTGTCCCAGCCTGTTCATGGAATGAAATCCTGGAATGGAAAGTAAAGGTATAGAAACTCTTAGTGTACTGCATTGACAGACTTTGTATCTTGCAAAAGCAGGTCTGCTGATGTGGCAGGAGGAATTATTGGTTTTGGGAATTAATGTAGTCCTTGTTCTAATGGCTTCTCCATTTAAGTATTGTTGCTCAGAGCAGCCCAGGAGCATGGCATGTTCCAAGGGGCCTGAAGGAACAGGGAGGGGCGGTGGCCTGTGACAGTGAGATCTAGTCATATTTCTTTGCAGACGTGCTTCTGTACCTTTAATAATAGAGTGTTTGCCGTGGTTTAATTTCAAGTGGTTTTGTTGGAAATTAAGAATTAGAAGAGAGTGCATAATACTATCACCTTTATTAAAGACAGGTTGATACAGTAACAGCATTAATTTTTCTGTCTGCTTCTACTTCTAGCAAGGCTGGAAATGGTGCCACACACCTGTAAAACTGATTTTTTGTTCTGATGATTTGTTCTGACAGTTAAGGACATTTCTCTTGGAGGAATGGGAGGTTGAATAAAGGTTGGTTGTGGACTTCTGTTAAGCCCAGAGATCATGAAAGAAATCATAGCTGAGAATATCTTGTACTGGCTTCCTGTTCAAGAAGTATGAAACACAAATTTCATAGAATAAGTGATCTGATGTCTGATCTCTAAAATAAGTGGCTTTTGTTTTCTGTAAACACAGATGACATTGAAGAGTCAGCAGTTGATTGCCTTCTAGACTCAAAATCTCTTTGGCCCATTTCAGTGCCTGTGTAAAGAGCTCTCACAGGCTGCCAGTTCATTATAATGATTGCTCTCCAAGAACAATATGGCAAAATATAACCATTTAAAATGCGACGTACAGAAGCATATTTAGAAAACAACCAGACACTGCAAGTAAAGCTAAGAGAAAGGGGGGGAGATATGATCAGATTGGGTTGCAAGGGGTATGGGTGGGAATGGGATATGAAAAGCACATTAAACAAGGAAAGCCTGAGCACACTGGCACAACATGGATGCAGCTACCCCAGCAAGTTTTCTCCATGACCTACAATGCGCATGGAGTAAAACTTAGTGCCAAAGATGAAAAGTTACAATACAATAAAAAAATAAAGGTAGCAACAACAGCCTTAAAAAAAGTGTTGGTAATATACCAGAATGTGAAATTCTGTTTAAGCTCTTCATAAAGTACAAGGGAGCACATTCAGCTGGGATGCAAGGTTTAGGGGGGCTTGGGATTCCCCTTTAAACACATCCTAATGTCTCCTGAAGGAGTCCTGGAAAGGGTCAGTGAGACTGTAGCTTGTTCTGACCTAGTTTGAACAAAGGGACTGATTCTGTTGTTACGATTATTAAATCCCCAAACCCCTTTGTGGCCGCTGGGACCTTTCCACTCTCTCCAGCACATTTTGCAGCAGGTTTGTGTGGAAGCTGCAGCAAACAGCTGCATGTCTCTAGCAGTAGCCCTTCTCTCTGTGCTGAGCACGTGGGGTACTCTTGCATTTAGATACAGGCCAACGTGTTGCCTTCTAAGAGCTCTCAATTGTGTAATTCCTAGGCCAAAATGCATTTTCTAAAATTTTTGGCTCTTTCCTTGAAGCAGTCACTGACCTCAGTTGCACAGGGGCAGTTAAGGACATTGTTAAAGTTTTAAAACCTCTGTAATACTTCCTTTTCCTGTCTCCTTCTGGCAGGCATTATGAGGAATTGTGCCTAGACACTATAAAAGCCAGTAAAGAAACCAACCCCAATAAAGAAACCAAACCCAAAATTGCAGAAAAGCAATATTGTCAGGTTGTGACTCTAGTGATGAGGTTCTCCCTCAGCAGATGTCGGCGCCAGATGATGCTACCTCTAATTTTCTGTGATGAGTTGAAAGGAAATGACAAGCAATACATATGAAGAGGTTCATCTTCTCGATGGCAGCAGGTTACAGTTCAGCTAATGTAATTCTAGTCTAGTGGCTCTTGCTTCTTGCTAACTTACTATTTATTGACAGGGCATTTTCATGTGAGGAATTGGAGTGTAAGAAAAGCAGAGCTCTTATAGTTGTTGAACAGAAAATGTACTCTTGCTCTCATGTTTCCACTTACCGAATGTTCTGGCTATCAGTGTATTGGGACTTCCTGGAGAATGTACTTTTTTCCTGCAGTGTTGGGAATGAGCTTTGCTGGAGACAGGAGTGACCTTCATGCGAAAAACTGTTTGAATTAGGGTGGAATTTGTGGAGAAGTTGGAGAAAGAGGTATCTAGCTGCCTTTGGATGCAGTGGAATTTTATGAATAAGTGTCTGGAAAGTTTTTTGCTGGAAGATTTCTAAACTGATATTTAAAAGCATACATTGCTTAAAAAAATCATCGGTCAATGTGTTCCAAAGTCCCTTGGGTTTGATGCCCAAAACTCAGAAGTTTTCAGCTTTGGTTAGGATTGAAACTCTTTAAAAAGCAAGTAGTTAGACTGTGATTACATATGTAGGTTTGGCAGCACTTTTGTCTTATTCTCTAATGACATCCAGATGACTTAGGTGCATTAGTATAGCAAATTCATTATTTGTTTCTGCCAGAAATTTTCTGCTCATGGGCTAATCCCCAAGTAATGCAGTTGTACAGGTAGCCTTGATATTACTTCTGGGTCAGTCTTGTGACTTTGCACTATATGAGCATATTTGAAATGCTGAATTCTCATTAACAGAATTTCCCATGTATCTTTCATTCTGAGTCCTGCTTGTGGTTCTTATGCTGTTGAAATCACTGCAGAGGTTGCTTGTGTTGTCCTTGTGGGTGAACTGTTACAAGGAATTCTTACAAACACGCATGATATTGATCTGAGATGCTAGCAGCTGGCTTGTTACCAAAATGCCTGTTTTGTGGTAAGTAAAGCATGGAAGGAACCACATTTTCATTTACATGGTACTGAGGAAGTGGATTGTGCTGGCAATCGCTGCTTAAGGAGTTAAAAAACAGTATTAACTGTAAAGCAGAATCAAACAGTTATATCTCAGTACATCTTCTGTAATACAATCTCTGTCCTTTTCTGTAGATATAAAAATGTTTTGTAGGCTTATGATTTTTATGGGGTTTTTTGGTAGCAGCATGATTTGGCTATCTCTGATTTTACACAGCTGTCATTTGATAGCAGGTTATCAAAGCCACATTAGTGAAACTAATGTGAATCAGAGGTGGGACTGCTGCACCTCTGCTTCAGCCACTCAGCCAGCTTGTTTTAAAGCCTTGGGGAAGGTGTGTTGGACCATTGACTCATGGTGAAGCAGGCTGGGGTGTCTCCCCTGCGTGCTAGCCTGGCTTGGAAGCAGGCTAAAAGCTTGCAGAGCTTAAGCTCCATGTGCTTGGTTCAGGAAGACCTGGTGCCCCAGCCATGGGCAGCATCAGCTTGAGCAAATGAACCTCTGAGTAGACTTGTTTCCTGTCAAAATGCTGAGGCTTCTGAGGATATCAGAGCAATTTTGCTTTAGCCTTCTGTTGAAAAATGCAAGTTCATTTTTGCAAACAGATCAAGTAATTTCAGGTGCTGAATTTCAACTGAAAAGGCTTTGAAGTAAGTTTGAAAAGTTTAATTTCATGTGGTGCAACATGCTGTATTTAATTAAAACCAGTTATTCCGATCTCCAGGAATACTCAGTCATTTATGTCAAGCTAGCCTCAACTCACAAAACCTATTTGCGCTGTCTGTCACTAAGCTCTCAAAGCAGGTCACAAAGCCTGTTGTATGTGTGGCTGTCGTACTGACTAGAGCAGTCACCTGGCAGAACCAGGTGCTTTCACTTTCCTGCTCTCAGGGGAACCCTTCTGTATCACACAAGGCAGGGTCCTCTCTCAGGCTTTGAGAAGAGGCCCAGGTGCCCCACGTGGGTGGGTGGGAGTGTAGGCTAGGTGTGAACTCCTGGGGTTGTACATGCAAGTTTTCTTTGAGCATCTAAATACTGTTTTGGGACTGGTCACACTGAAGTATATTTGATTGGCATTTCAAATTAATTGTTAACTTTGCAAGGTGAGAATCTAAAATGTTTGATGTAGTTATATGTAGATTAAAAGTGGGAGATGGAGTTTGTTTTGATGTTTTAAAAATGTAGTTCTCTGAATAACTCATTTCTGTGTAGTCAGTGGGGCCACCACAGCCCCTAGCAAAGTGGTAACTCATTGGCAGTGTAACAGCTGTATTATTTAATGTAAGTTTATATGCCATCAAGTGTCCAAACGTTTGATTGCTTATGTGAGAGAGCTTTTCTTTTGCAGTCATTGGTCTCAATTTTTCAATTACAGTTTCTCATTTTCTTTTCTAGCTTTACTCACGGACAAACCTCCAAAGCCATTGTTCCCCATAGAGAACCAGCCAACTGTTATAGATGTCCAGCTGGGTAAGTCCCCTTCTGGGATAAATAGATCCTAAACTTCCACTCTGGTAGCAGATGGGAAAAATTGAACGTGGTAAGAAAGGTTTAGTGATACTGTTATTACATGCAAATCAATTTGCAGCTTCTCATTTATAACTGTAGAAATTACTTCCATGGCAATTTAAGGGAATGAACTTCTGTAACATCAGGGGATGGCAGTACTAATTGGTTACAATGGGTATTAAATACAAAGTGCTGCTGCTCTTGTTAATACACGATTGATAGAGTAATGTATGTCTACATTGGTGCTGTATTGATCAGTTGATGTTCTAAGACAAATATCCTCGTAAAAGAAGTGCTAATTCCTTTAAAAGTTGATGTAAAACTTTTTTTTGGTGCATTTTCAGGTTGTTCTGAATGTTTATCAGAAAGGGCTTTTGTGTGCTTTTCTCGCTCCTGTTTTATATTCTTCTGTGAATGTACATCTCCAGTCTCACCTGGCAGCCTGTATTTTCTCTAATGTTGAGAAACTCTAATGTTGGAGAGTTCTGCTAACCTTGAGGAACTGCAGTGCACCTTGGTGCTGAAAGAACTGCTCAGCTTTGAAGTTCCAGAGGTTTTCTTTCAGTTCCTTGAAAGTAGATCTCTCATTTGGAGAGGCAGAATTGAAGTTGCTGTTGAGGACTGTGGTGCCCTGAACTTAAATGGCAAGAGGTGTGCTGCAGATGTGTATTATTTACTTTATGCTGAAGCTGTGGCATTTTTTTTTTTTTTGAGTCTGACTCTCATTTTCCTTTTATACCAAAGCTGGTAGGATTCAGTGATGGAATGGTGTTTGAAGTCAAGCAAGTTCAGAATGAAGCATTTTAAGTGGGCTGTTAACATTGTGGTAAAGCTGTTTGTGAAACCCTACGGGGTCCTACATGAGCCGAGTACAAAGGCACATGCTTAAAACAGGTGCCTAACGATTTCAGTGAAGTGCTTAAGATGCTCTGAAAGTATGTAGAAATGGAGCTTGTATTCATGAATGTGATCCTTGAATTGTGGTGAACATATGAATCATATGTGACTTTAGCCAGTCTTAAAGAGTAACTTTCTTGTGTATGTGGATTGACTTGGGAGTCTGTAAGGGCTTGTACAGGAAAGACAGCTGTGGATGTGAGAAGGGGCCAGTGCCAGATGAGTTCTGCAGACGGGCATGCATGTGTGTAGTCAGGTTCCACTCACCGGCCTCGTGTGTCTGTAGCTGAGCAGAAATTGGCCTTAGAAGAGGAAAACACAAAACAGGTCTGAAGCCATAGTCAAAAGCCAGAATTAGTAGCAAAGCATGCTCATTGAAATTTGGATTAGCCCAAAAGGCTGAATTCAGTTGCTTAACAGTCAACTTTCCAATGATTTCGTTTGGGAGCAAACTGTCCCTGCATACATCTGTGTAATAAAGGCGCTCAAAGAGTATACATCTGTTTCCTGTATTTTTATTCCATCTTCTGTTTTCTCTTCAAAGTTCACCTGTTCCATCGGGACTCTGTTGTTTTTGCAGTGATTTCTTCTTTTTATTTATATTTTTTTCCTGCATAAAAGCACTCTGTTGTGACTGAGGTTTGATTTTAAAAAAAAAGTGAAATTAAAACAAACAAATCCCTTCCTCTCCTTGGAGGAGATGGGTCTTGGTAATAGGATTTTGGAATATCTCTAGAGGGGAATATAAATCTTGCATCTTTATATGCTGGAATGTAATCCATTAGATGTCCCCTAAGATCAGGGAATTTACATATGATGCATCTTTTCTGATATGTTAATGGGTTTGGTTATTGCCACTAAACCATATTCATATTATGTGTAAAAGATTAATGCCATGAAAGAACCTGAACATATTTCTTTAACGTACAGTAAAGGGAATTGTTTTCCCTCCTGATTTTAAACGGCAAACAGAGCTAGAAAATTCTCAGGGAGTCCCTTCATCTTGTGGACGCCACCTGCACTTGGGGCTGGGGGGCTGTGCTGACCTCTGCAATATGCTCAGAGCCTCCCCACGTACTAGAGCTTTGCAGGAAAGTGAATCACTCAACTGCAGCAAAGGAATAGAGAAGAAAGTTATATGTTAGGTCATCTGCTGGAATGCTCTTTTGAAAGCTCTCCTAGGAGCTTTGAACAGGAGACATTCTGCAGGATTTGATTACAAACCAAAGCACAGTTTCCATGTCTTACAGGGTCTTTAGCCCATAAAGTCAAACCGCCCAATATACAAAAAAAGCTTTATCGGAGGTTCTACATATATGAACATTCCACTACACTAAAAAACAAATGGACTTTAATCCATCTGCTTGTTCTTCAGAGATTATTTTAGATTTCTATTAGAAAACTAATCTTTAAATAGCTCTCTTTGCTCTATAAGCAGAGGAGATTAATAATTATTTGCTATCTTTATCCTTAATAATTAGCACAATGCAGTGCAAAATCTTGCCAAAACTCTAAGCAGTGGCCTAACTATTTAGCAGCTTATTTGACCTCGTTGCAGACTTCAGTATTCACCTTTTGGCTCTCAGCTTTTATAAGAAGACTCAAATGAAAATAGACATGCACAACTCTTATTGACAGTGGATAAAAGAGCTCCTTCAGGCTTCAAACATGGTCCAGAGCCTGCCTTGTTCTTTAGGAACATGAATGTACTTTTTGCTTTTTCTGTTTCCCTTGGAATGTGACAGAGATCAAAACCAACCTGTCAAGGGCAGAGAGAAGCAGAAACTGGAATTTGCTTTTTTCCTTTTTTTCTCTATTTGCTTGTGCTGGAGAAACAGAGCCAGAGAGAGGAAGGTTGACAGGAGGACAGAAGAGCATCCCAGAGGACTAGAGAAAAAGTCCAAAACAATTTCACTGTTTTGGATGCTTTACCAGGTCAGATAATCACTTCATCTCTGGGCCGACCTAGAAAATAATGACAGATTTTTTTTTTTTTTTATTGTTCATTTGCTGCTTCCTTGTCATAAAAACAAAACAAAACACCCTTTTATTTAGTTTTCAGCTCTTTGCTTTGGGGTCAGTGTAGCAATGGTCCTTGATAGCACAGGATGCGGCACATTTAATCTTATTGTATCTTGGTTTTAACAAGTAATATTTATTCATACTATTCTTTATGTAGTTTTGCAAAGATATGACATTGATCTAACAGTCTCATGTTCCTCCTGAAAAAAGATATCTCTGAGTTGTCTTTGTAACATTAAAATCAAATGTGTTAGTATGAGCCAAAATGCATACAAGTCTTCTGCCCAGGAGATTATGTGGCTTCAGCAGAAGGCCCTTAATACTTCATTTGAAGAGTTTTGAGCCATAACACTCTACTACAGACTCTGTTAGTAAATTGTGACTGTCTCCCATGCAAAGCTCTGAACATGAATTTATAAAAGCTCATACCGCTGTGGTTCAAAGTAGTTGTTCAAAGACCCCGAGTCTTTTTAGAGCAGGAGCTTGCAGTTGCTTTGATTGACGGTGTAAACCTAAGCATGTGCATGGATTGTTCATGGCAAATCCCTGAGGTTAGAAAACTCCTTAGGTGATTTAGGGAAGTAAAGATCAAAACCTCAAAAGTCTCTGGGCTCTGTGTGGTGCATTAAATTTTAAAGATGTGCTATCTATTTCCCTGTCCAGCTGTTCTGCAGTAAGGGGGAAGCATGCTGTGCTGTAGGTCTCAAGATAACAACACTCTGCTGATTTCTTAATACACTTTTAAAAATTCTTCTCCAGCTAACTTTGTTCACTCCTAGTGCTTTGAGGCCATGGAAAGAAAACTAACCAGTCATCTGTGCTTTGATTATGTGATTACAGGGTAGGTTTCTTCTCTGAACTGACTCCTTTGCACATTTCTGGAAGCATGAAAAAGCCAAAATCTGATCAGTGGCATCAGATAGGTTGCTGTGAGTTTTTGCACTGCCAGCCCTCAGCTGGTGTAAAAGCAGCATGGAAGGGGCATAAGCAGTTGCGGAAGACAGGAAGCACATCTGTGCTCTGCTGATTCTTGGCTGGACAGAGTTCTGTAAGGATGTTGCAGGAGCTGTAGCTAGCTAGCCTCTGTATAAACTTTTCCCAGCATCATCCAGTGTGCACCATGGCTGCTGTTTTACACTTGTCTGGTCACAAAGCATCAAAAAAGGCTGAAAATACAGTATCAAAATAGAAGCCAAGTCTGTCTGTCAATTCTTGCAGCGTGTGTTACAGTTAATGTTTTCCTTACGAATGAGTTAGTGGAGACTGGAATGAGTGTTTGCATGTTTGAGTCCATATTAATTGAATACATCATTAATGTATCATTTGCTTTTCGATTATGTACTCATTTTGTTTTCAGGCACTTACTCAATGTAGCAAGAGTCTTGGAAAACAAAGTGAGAAACATCTGTTAATTCTTTTACTGAACAGAGAAAATTTTAAGGGGTTTAACTCTTATCATGTAGTTTCTCTGCTTCTAAAGATGCTGAGGAAAGAAAACACATAGTCTGTGAGGATTGTCATTTTTGCTGATAGCTGACCTGTTCAGAAAGATCTTGTTTCTAAGAGATTTAACAGTGCAGTTCATTGGGAGTAGTTATTAAGCAGATCAATACAGCTACTGTAAAACAAGCACAAGGGAATAGGCCATGTTCCATCTGCTGACAGGTGTGGGAATTGAAAAAAAGTAGTTTAAAAAAAAGGGGGGGGGGGGGGGGGAAGGCCCTTTGTATTTGAAGCACAGGCTGGAAGAAGTCATTTGAGAGTGAAAATGCATGCACTTCCTGACAGCTTTAAGATACTACATTCATTGGTCACGGTCTAGTTTTTATTTAGATCCCTCTTCTTTTAAAAATAAATAATAATGATTAAAAAAAACCTGGAAGGTATTTTGGAGACATCCATTTCATACCAAGCCTGTCTGTTTGAGACCGTCCAGCAGTGTCTGTCATTACTGACTTGCTGATCACATCATGCTTTCTTTGTATTTCAAGATACAGGTATTTGATAAACCTCTGAATAGGGTGGTGTTCTTGGACAAAGAG